CCGGACCACACGAGGAACTGGGCCCCGAACGAAGAAGGCAATCAGCAACGAGTCGTTTCCTCGACACGCCCTAGACGCTAAACCCTAGACCCCAAAACCTAAACTCCTAAACCCAAAACCCTAAACCCGGAAGTCCTAAACCCTAAACCCTAGACTCTAAGCCCATCATCATCTCCGACTGCGAAAAGCTTAGGTTGAGCGATTCCCGGCTTCTAGCGATCGTTTAATTAAGAAACTCATCATCCTTATGAGCTGCTTAGGCTTTAGGGTTTAGGGTGTAAGGTTTAGGGTTAAGGGGTTTTGGTGCTGCGGCGCACTTGTTATTGGGCATTGGGCTGTCGCCGCTTTGCTGCTCATAGTCTGTTACCTGCAGAGGGCGATTTTGCTCAACTATACACTCACCAACACTTTAAAGCGGCCCTTTTTTGCACTCACCAAAACCCTTGGCAAGGTCTAACTTTATGAGAATCGCACATCCCAGTACACTAACAAAGACCTCTGAAGTACCATGTTGGGGTGCTTAGACTGTAATACGGTTGATGATATAAATAAGGAATAATATACCATAATTCCCATAGGTTTGGGGTCCTTGAGGTAATGCAGGATCTATATCATCAACAGTGTGGGGGCCTCTAATAGTTAGAATCATTTAGAACAAGGTTTTGGTGCCCATAATACTATACTTACAACAAGGGAACACACAGGATAGTATTCTTTCTTTCAGGCGGTGCAAAGTCCCGGTTGGAACGTACCACATGCAAATAAATTCAGGAGGTGAAACTAACTGAAAAAGCAGGGCGCCCAGGCGTCAGCAAGACTGATTGTTCCAGCCAGCCGGCGAGCGGCCCCGTAGCTTCGCGGTTGATCGAAAAAGAGACATGCGAGACTCGGCCAGCGGTTGCTAAAGCAAGGGCACATTCCAGCCATTGAAGGGTGCGGTCAAGCCACGTCTTATGCTGTCGCATGAGCCGGAGAGGGCATGACCCAAAAGCCCACAGACCAATGACTGGCAAAGGCGGAGGAGGCAAACGAAGACAAATCCCAGGCAGACCGGCGGATGGCTCATCATTCCAAAAGTCAAGACCCGGTGCCAAGCCTTCCCCATGCCCAGGCGCAGCAACTGTAACTGGAGACCCCAAGTCCGACTGTGCCTGCAAGGGCAAAGGAAAGAGGAGGGGCTGGAATTCCTGTGTGCTCTCAGCAGCCTCCTTGCGAACCCGCGAAGCAGAATCACACAGCAAATCGACCTGCATGCAAAGCAACACATCCTCAGCCCACTGTCTGATCTGCCCCGTCGGGAGAGCAGAAATCCAGAACCGCAGTGTCTCCTTAAGGACATGGAAGGGCTCAACGAAACTTCGTATCCCCTCAAAGATTTCTGAATCGGCCTGGAAATTCTGATCACGGAGAAAACAGAGCAAGTCAAAGCTGACATCGGGCGGTGTCGCAGCAAGATGACCTGTTCCGAAACCCTCCAGAATAACACCCTGCACATGCCCTTCTTCTACGAAAAGCGGATCAAGCAGGCCGTCAAGCTTCCACTCAACAGCGCGGCAACAGACAGTGTTCGTTTGCAAATGTCGACGGTGACTCGGCAGGGAGGGAAAGCGTGCCCCACAAGCACGACATTGCAAGCCTTCCGCGTATCGCCGTGCACGCGATCTGTAGCCGTGTGTCTTAGCCGCATGTGCCGACCAAGAATGGAAGTCGAAAAATGCAACGCCACACTGCATGCACATCTGACTGGCCACTTCGGGTTCAACAGCTTCAGCAGGCATGGGTTCCCAACGACAACGGCAGAAAAGCTGGAAGGATGCACAAGCCTGCATACGCCCAACATGCCACGCAGAAGCCCGTTGCAAAAGACCCTTAAACCTCCCCTTCTGAGTGAAAACCCCAGTCCAGGTTGTCCACTCCTCAAGCTTCAGCTCACAAGTGTGTCCGACTGCCTGGACCATCCATTCCATTGCTTGCCGGAATGCCTGTACGGCAGGTCGAGAATGCTGCAACAGGGCGAAACACGCATCAGGTCCATGACAGTACATGAAAACGCAGCCTTTCCACTGCCAGCATCCCCGCCACATCAGGCAAGCCAGCTGTGCCAAAAATCTGCTCAACTGACCAGTTCTGCCTGCCTTCATGCGGAATCCTAAGCATCTGCCTCACCATGTTGGTCACCCCCGCCTCCAAAGCCTTCCAAGCAGTAGGGCACATGTAAGGCCATGCTCCGCTCCCCGCGAAGAGAGAGGAGAGTACATAAGTGCGGAAAAGAAAAACTCGGCGTGCCAAGTCAATGCATGGTGAGCAAAAGATGTCCTTTCGCCCCTCGCGGAATGCCACCTTCGCCAAGTTGATCTTATTTCGGATCTCGGGGACCATGGAGCCATTATGTGTTACTGTAGTACCCAGGTGGCGATACGAAGCCACGGCATCGAGCTTCAGGCCGCCCCTATGCTCACAAAGAATTGGCAGCTTGCCCTTTGCGTCAGTGAAGACACGCTGTCGAACCTCACGAGCCCCAGCACCAACCAGTGCCAGAATCGCCGCGGTCTTCCGCGGTCCAATGTTGGCTTGCAGTCCGTGCGAAATCAACACATCCAATTGCACGCCCGCAATTCGCTGCACGGCCTTGGGGAGCTCCTGAGGTGTCTGTGTGACCACACATGTAGCGAGGTCGTCAGCATAGACAATGTCCTGAACCTCCGTGACTTGCTTCTCCCGGCGTCGGGAGTCATACATGACAACTTCACGCTGCCCGCTCCAGGGGATTTGCGGTCCATATCCCTCAGAGCTAAAGTTGCCTCTTCTTCGCAGAACCTTCGAAAACAAGATGCCAAAAAGCACATCCGCCCAGCTCGATCCCGGCCGGGTCCCCCTCTTAGTGTGCACCACCCGGTCATCATCATGCAACCAGAACCATGTTGAGGTATGGATTTCTCGGGCAATGCGATGCAAAAACTCTTCATCCCGATCTTCATTCAAGATCGCCTCATCCTCCACGTACGCCGTCAACAGCTGCAGGTCCTCATTCGTCAGCCCCAGAGAGCTCGTCACCTCCTCAAGGGAAGCCTCACAGAGGCCGCCTCCTAGAAGAAGCTCCCGTACAACTGAGTAATAAGCAGCTGCTAGATCACAGAAGATGATACTGGCCGACCTTCCGCCTGCCCGCGCAAATTGCAGAAAGGCACGCGAACAGAAGCATCCAATGCTGAAGCTGAGACCCTTTCGCCCTCCAATCTGAAGTGGTTGAGCCCGCCGCTTAAAACCCTTCATAGCTGAGCCGCGAAGAGCCTTGTGGAGAATCTTCTCAAAAGCAGCCTGTACTAAGATTCCGCGCTCTGCGGAACATGTTGAGGACATGCTGCCTGGTTTCGGGATGTGGTACAATGTACCTCCTTTATAACCCGTAGGTTCCGTGCAGAAGACTATTGCCTTCAACACAACGGGCCAAAAGTGCATCGCGAGAGAACAAGGGAATTGCCTGCAGAGCCCTGGAGGAAGTAAATCGGGTCCGGCCGCTTTGCCGGGTTTGACTTGCCGGAAGATCTGGATAATGGCATCAAAATCTGGAAGATCCTCACAACGCAAGGACTCGAAAGCCTCAACCTGCTGATGTCTGGCGACACAGCGTGTCGCCAGCGTGGATCCATCCAAACTTTCACCTCCTTCAAGTGCCGCAAAGTGTCGCCTCCACTCATCCCGAACGGCACTTTCGGAACAACAGGCAGACCCGTCTGATTTTCGCAGCAACGGGAGGGGCGCTGGTCCATTGCGTCGAAACTTCTTCGGTCGCAGCAGGCGCCTCAACGCCGAATGTACCTCCTGGGCATCAGCCGAACCAACATCAGCAGACAAGGATCGCAAATATTCTTCTTGTCACGGCGACAGAGATTCCTCAAGATCCTGCTTAGTTCGCCGATCCTCGTGGTAAGGAGCGCGATGGCCGTCCGAAGCTGAGAAGTCCAACGCCCTTCAAGGAGCTGGGTGAAGGTCTGGTTGGGGCTGCGCCAAGCCAAAAAGGCACACCGGATCCTAGCTAGATCCTGGGCGACAAGTCTGTTTCTCAGCGCATGGCGCAGATTGGCAATTCCAGCATGCACTTCACTCGCCTGATCCCCAATGAAAGATTTCCTCATGCGTCGGCCCGCAGCGGGAAGCGACTTACCAAATTCTGATAAAGGAACTCCGAGAGCAAAGCCGCATGGTCGTGTATGTTCGTTTCCCAAGGTATGACAGGCAAGCTATCCAAGATCTGCTGAATGGCAGGGGCATTGACAGGATCTCGAATGGCAATTGGGTCAATCCGTTTGCTACGTACACGTTTGCCGCTCGTCCTGTGCACCAGCAAACACCGAACAACCGCTGCAAAATGATCCGGCGCAGAGTGTCCCGCCGTGATGCCTGGTTCAACCCAAGCAGCAGTGTCAAATTCCTTCCACGCCAGCGGAATGCAGGCAAAGTCGCAGCGCTGCAGTTCACCTGAGCATTTTTGCAGGAGCGTGCCTCCAGGTCCCCACATGGAACCTTCAAAAGTGCTAGGCATCCAAAGTCTCAGGGAGGCAAGCAAAGAATGCAGGCGACTTCCTGCAGGGTCCTCGGGATCATGCTGCCAGTCACCAATGTGCAACGACGTAACAGATCCGACCCTGCAATTTGCATCAAGCAGCATCAGCCAATCACCGTCCTTGGGATACTGTCCGCAAATATCGGCGGTGCGTCGCCACCAGGCAAGACGGTCCTTTTCGGCATGTGCCCTATGTGGGGCGTGACCAACCAGCACATGAATGCTGAGATGCAAGAAAGTCACCTTGGCCAACATGCGAGTGTGGTCGGCGAAAAGAACTACTACCTTATGCCCCGGAGCGGCGGAACCCTTATCCTATCCACAACTCGACCCCAAAGGCTTTTCGGTCTGTGCAGCCAGAACTGTAGCGCACATAATGCTCCGCATGCCACGTGCCAGCAGGTGTTCTAGCTTCCTGGATTCCAGCTATGAACACCTAGTGCGCCTCAAAAGAGGCATCAAGCAGAGCCACACGCCCAGCCGCCCCGTAAAGGCCTGTCTGCGTCCCGTTCTCCTGTCGGTCTGGCGTGAGCAGCGAGAGCGCGTTGTAGGACGTGCAGACGAAAGGGAAGGTCCGGACTTCTCCATCCTGGCATTCGGGCGTAGTGTTCAAATCGCACGTGAAAGGGGCAATCAGGGCAGAGGGAGGCAGTCGCGGCGCATTCTGCTGCATTTCCCAAGACATGACCTGTCCGCGCATAGCAGGCAAACCTCCCCCCCGCTGCATGGAGAGATAGACGTGCGGGAGCCAGCGCGCAGCGCAAGCCCTGTTTGCAAGCCAAGGCAAAATGCGCACTTTGGTGGGTGCATCCGTTTTGCGATGGTCTGCGCCCAGACTAGCAAGACCGTCAGCCAGCTCGTTCGATGCATCACCAGAATGCCCTAACACATGTTCGTAGGCGACTTCGTGTGTGCAACGAAATCTAAGAACAAGATGCAAGCAGCGAGCGAAGATGCACAAAAAGGTGCGGTGGCATTGCAGCGACTCCCTGCACACCCTGCAAAGCAGAGATGCTATCTGCGCGGCACACAATCCTCCCCAGGTGAGGGAGTCGAAGAGCAACAATCCCTGCCCAGATGAGGCCTAAAACCTCAGCGAAATAGGCATTGGGCTGGGCGGCTGAAACTTCATCACACAGGACCTCCTGATCAAGAGGGCCATAGGCACAGCCTGTGAATTGGCCAGGCATCTGCTGCTCAGTCCCTAAGAGACTAACAACCAACCCCCATCCTGCAAGGCCAGACTTCGTCTGAAAAGAACCGTCCGAGGTGAGCACAAGGGACTCATGTGGGGCAAGGGATCTGCCCCAAGTACCTTGTTCGAGCCACTGCTGGAAACGAAACGCCTTGGGTACGCCTCGCGGGACGTTTCCAAGAGCACAGAAGGGCAGGTGCTCAAACAGCTCAAGAACATTCTCCTCACTGCAGGGCAACAGACACCGGCCACCATCTAGGCGGAAAGTCTCAGTGCCAAGGTCCGAAAAAGTTTTCGCCGGCAACTCCGGCAGGGAAAGGCAGTGCCTTCAAGAGCTTCATGTTGCTGATCCCATTCTTCACGTAGAGTCTCAACGAGGATCCGAGCCTCGAAGAAGGGGTCATGTTTGGCCTGCTTCCTGGCTTCTTCAAGCAGAGTAGGCCCTATCTCACCTAAACCCCCAAGAAAGTCAGGACCCGAATCCCTGGCAACCCGAGCAGCATCTGAGAAATTACGACACGGTGTCGGAATGGTCCACGGCCTCGGGGGAACAGAAGAGGCAGCTTCCGAATCCTCCTTCATACCAGTGTTAGGCAGGCCGGGGTTCCCGCAGGTGCCCACCGTTGCTCCTAGTTCGAACTGACTGAAAAGGCATATCACAAAGAAGCATGTGCGCACTGGCCCTCGCGAGCTGGTACAGAGAGCTCGGCGGCGGCGCCTCGAACCTATTGGCATCAAGCTTCGCCCGGCATCAAGATGATGAAAGGCAGGGCTGTGTTCGCTAATGGTCACGAGGGGAGGCATGGAAGCATGGTGACTGCCACCTTCACACTCCTCACGCACACAATCGAGAGATGGTTCCGTACGAGTGTCTTCGAAAGTGACGGTTAAAACCTCCCCATCCTGGACCTCGCGGAAACCAGCAGGCAGGGCAATCCCCGGGCTTCCCCCGCTAATGCAGATAGCCAAGTCAGCTGGGCACCATCCACTAAGCCTCTCAACCAAACGATTAACATCCAGATGCCACTCATGAATCTCAAGCCCCTGAAGGCCAAGCAGGATTGGCCTCATGTCAAGCACCCCAAGCATGAAAGCATCTGTTTGGCTGCTTCCATCACGGAAAGCATAAGCCACACATACAATCTTAGCTCGTCGGCCCCTCTCACAGCTGTCCTGGAGAGGAGGGTCAGTCCTGCACATGAAAAGATCGGTATCATCGATGCCAAGCGCTGCAGCGACCTGTCGTCTCAGAGCACCACGGTCACTCCTTACAAAAGGCAGGAAGACAGGCTCCCGATCAGACAAGACCAAAACAACCTCATGTTCACTGCCGAGCGGTGGCATATCCCCCGGAGCGAGGGGCGAGACAAGCATGTCCGACAAGAAGGCGGTGATCAGGACACCATGATTGGGGTCAGCAACCACGAAAAGTTCCCCTTCATGCACTGGCACACTTTCCTCATGCTCGAGGGCCCATGGTGACTCTCCAGCATACATGAGAACATTGCAATTCGGGTCATAATCCGCAGCAGCAAGCAAAGAACGAAGGTTCATGTGGCACGGAACCATAAGTGCAAAGAGACGACCATCCTTGAGTCTTCCATCTATCAGCACAGCTCGTTCCGTCATTGGCCATGCCGGCAAAAGAAGTACCGAGACGAAAGAGGTATCAGGTTGTGGGACAACTTCCACAAGTCGCACGAACCCAAGTATTGCCGCATCCTGGCACTGCTCGCTGACAGCAGCAAACAGCTCATCGGTTGTCGCCGGCACTCGTAGCCACACGTCAATGTGAATCGGAACATAGTCAGGACGGAAAACCACCACCTGGGTGGCAGAAAGTTCCATGGGTCGGTCCACCTCCTCAACAGTGGACGACTCAACACCTGCCTGAAACCTCCCATACCAACCAGGATCGGCGATCACAAAATCTTGTTCCCAAGCCATGTCCTCAGCATTCCCGCCAACGGGAACCGGGGCAGGAATGTACCTTGCTTCAAGCACCTTGCCCGGAGCTACATCCAAAAGAAGGTATCCGACACTGATGCCCGAGACCTCAGCGCACCAGCCTTGTGGCGCTTCCTCGTTCAGAGCGTCCAAGACGTCAGCTGCGAGAACCCTGGTGTCAGGTGCTCGGAAGCAGTACCAACCTTGAAGAAGCTGGCGCCCATCGACTAAAAAGCAAAAGCTAGCGTCAACCTCCTCAAGAAAGGTCCTCGGAACCGTCACCAGGACAGTACGGCAGTGGTGCCCATCAACAGCAGCATTACGAACACGGGGTTCTGCAGGGAAGATCGCAAGTTCCTGTGTGCGGCATCCAACCGCCTCAGCAAGCCTATCCCGGTACTGCATCGGACGTCGCGGGTCAGCAAAGTACAGGCGAAAACCATATCGCAAAGCGAGACAGTAGCAGTCCCCTGATTGGGAAAAGCCCTGCTCATTGTCAGTTTGCCAGGGGATGGTGGACAACAGACGTTCAGGAAGGGTTTCACTGTGCGGGAATGACGTCCCAACCTTCAAGAACCGCTAACCCCTGGGGAAACATGACGCAACACACTGTTCTGAAGTGGCTCGTCATCAAAACCAGCTAAGACCTGGACATCAGACATGGGCGGCAAGTCCGCCATCATCAGAGCAGCTTGCCTATCCAAGTAACTCGGGAGGCGAAGGGCAAAGAAACGCCCATCAACGTCAGTCAGATCCATACAAGCAACGAGTCCTTCCTCAAACCACAACGGAGCCGCCAAGAAGGCACACACGCCAAAGGCCGGTTGAGGCGCGGCCCCAAAGAGCTGTGGGAAAGCTTGCAGGTCACCAGGGACACGCGCAGCCTGCACTGTCTCAACAACTTCTTCAAGCGTAGACGGAAAGCGAAGGCGTAGCTGAAGCTGTTCCGGAATGAAGCCAGGCTTCAAGACTAAAACCCAGGTCCATCGGTAGACATCAACCTGGGCCTGTCCAAGGTCAACAAAATCGCGTAGCATGCCAGGCACATCACCCCCATCAAACGGCAAGAAGGGCCATGGATCCCCAAGCTCAACTGTCAGAAACCGAAGAGCATCGAGGCGACTCCGCATATCAAAGCTGAACGGGGCGGGCTCAGTCAGCCATTTATGCTCCCTAGCCCCAAAGTCACTCAAACGTGCAATGTGATCAAGAGAGACATCTTGGCAGCTGCATATGCTACTTCTTTGCATGATGTCACACATCCAACCGCAGGAAAGACAGAGGTGAACCCCACATGGCCTTCAACAAAGGCAACGTCTGCAGAATGCAAGGACCACTTATCCCCTACGATTTGTTTGTGACTAGTTACGGCGTCAACCCTAACGAAGGGTTGTGTCAAATGGTCTGCACAGCTCACAGCATGACCCACGAGTCTGGCAGCCACAGACTGTGTGGCATTGAGCGTACCACAGGAATCCGTGGGTCCCGGCATAGCACTGTCATCGAAGGAGTGATCAGAGGAGGGCTCTGCGTCGCCATTATTTCCTCCACGGCGCTGACTTCTAGATCGGGTCGTGGCCTCGGAGTCAGCATCCTCCCGATCGGTTGCTTCCTCTTCATCTCCCTCTGATGGATCCTCCTCATCCTCATCCCCATCCTCCGAAGACGAGGAGTAAAATGTAGGAGATTCGATGCATTCATCATACTCGAACCCAAAGGTCAAAGTATCGTTTGGTTGGATCTCAACCTTCCTACTGCGCATCCTGCCTCCCCGGACACGAAGGCGCCAACCAGGAGGTGGCTTGCGAAGTGGAATTGCCGCAAGTTCCTCTTTGGTGACATAAGGTCGATCGAGAACAAGGAACTGAAAGCTCTCAGCAATTTGTCGCAGGTCAAGAAAGACGACATATTGCGGGGAGTTCTGTGGTATCTCATCTCTGTCTACCAAAGCAATAACCCCACGGATGCCTGCCGACTTGTAAACAACGTTCATCAAGGCATCATTATCCGGAGCATGCATGGCAACCTGCGCTCTTGACACCCCGACAAAACGGGCAGCTGCTTCGTCTACACTTAGCTCACTGTTCTGACGCCGAAAGATAAACCTGCCTCGCCGGTTCAGCAACAGCAGTGATCGTAAACGCGGCGGTGGCGGAAAAGAGACAGAGAGCTGCCAGCTTTCTGGAAACTGCAAACGGTATTGCAAGTCATTTGCAGGCACGGGACATCCCTCCTGCCGGAAGAAAGTCACAAGGCATCCATTGTTTAGATGGACCGACTCGTCATCCTCGAGAGGAGCAACACTGGTGCCAACATACACCCTACATGCTCGAGTGCCGTATATGCCTGCCTGTCTGCACAACTCCTCCTTGCAAGTGGGCCTGGTGACATAGGTCGCTACCACGGGGCCGAGTTTATGTTCCCCCATGTCGCGCAAATCCAAGCAGATGGCCGTCAAAGCTGCGTAGGCAGACCAGTCAGGCACAAGTATCATTGCAGCGCACGTAGGGAAAGGTTGGGGCCTAACTACAACCAGCCTATCGCAAAAGGGGAGGTGCAGCGCAGACAAATTTCTGGACGTTGCATCCATTGCATCCTCAACATCACAAGGCATGCCCAGCGGAAATTGAAGCTGCTCGGGCTGAAACCCAGGCGAAGCCACCCACACTGAGAAAGTGACGTCACGCGTTGCGACCGCTATGGTTTGCCTCCTCAAAGCAGGCAGCTCAGTGCGAAAGGGTTGGGGCGGAGGTGGCCCTCTGGGTGGGCTGACCGTGAAGTGTATCACATCAGGCATCCGATTCGCAGGTCTACCCAGAGTGTCTGCAAGTGGGTCTGGAGCTTCTGGGTACACGCGACCTGTGCCTGCAGGGGCGCCTTGTGTAGTTACCTCTTCGACTGCAGCAACGAAGTCGGAAAGCCCTGGCGGAGCGCTCCATACACAGACTGGCAGCACGAGCATCCTCAGCAAAAATGCAGAGAATGAAAGACCACCCCGCCTTGCATCAAAAGACAATCCCTTGCCGGAGCTACCATGAGGTCGCTGCTTCTGCCGTTCCTTCTGCGGACTATATGCTCCAGAAAAAACCTGCAAACACTGAAGTGACGAAACTGGAAGGTTTGCAGAAAAACCCCAGAACAGACGCCCTAAAGGAGTACGACTGCCTGGCACTCGTTTCCATAGTGCCTGCCACAATGCGATCACAAAGACCACATAAAGAGTCCGAAAAAAGGCCAGCACTAGTACCGAAAGCACATTCACAAGTGAATAAATGGCCGACATCATGCGTGTGTCGGCTCGCCTGACAGCTGGGGTAGTCGTCCCTGAGCCACCGATACGACTTTTAGGCACCCCAAAGTGCAATGGAAAAAAGGGATTACAGCACTGTGCATGAGAGGCTGCCGAAAAACAAGGCGCCTTATCCCTGCCAGAGCAGCTTGTCTCAAAAGAGAACAAAGACAAGGGCTGGAAATTCCCCAAGATGAACGACTTGGCCGAAAACGCCCTCGCAGAAAAAGATGCACCAAATCCAAAGCATCCTTCAACGAAGTGCGATAGAGTCTGATGGACAGCAGCTGCATCAATAGCCCAATGACACAGAAACTGCCCACCATCTAAAGAATCAAAACTCCAACCGCAGAAGCCTGTACAGGAAAGACCTACATGTCTGCCTTCATCCTGCTCACAGCCACAGCAGCTCAGAATGGTATCATTCGCAGAGAACCCTGCCCAACCAGTCACTTCTCTGCCATCAGGAATGCTCCACCAGTAACAACCGGGAAGCACCCCGTCAAGGAAGGGGGACAAGTCGAGTATGGGCACCTGCGAAGGAACACCGATCATCACATACCATGCAGGGCTGCCTGGTCCACCTCCAAGAGGTCGTCGTCGTCGTCCGCCAAGACTGGAATGGGCCCAGGTCCATTGTTGTCTGCTGCAGAGATCGCCTCGGTTTTCGTGCCCTTGTCGGTATTCTCCAAGGCGCGTCGCTTGGCATCCAGCTTGTCGCCGAGTGAGGCCTGTGGTGGGATCTGAGGATGTACCGGTTTCAAAGGTGCGCCCTTCACCGGCCCCCTTTGCTTCGAACCAGCACGATGATGCCCACCAGGAGAGAGTCCAGGTGAGGCGTTCACAGGTGGCGGCATGTCCTTCCTCTGAGAGGGCGAGGGGACATATGGTCCCGTAGGGGCCGCCACTTCGGCCTGTCCATTGTCTCCCTGTCCAGCGCTGTGGTATGCAGTCTCCACCTCCATCGGCCTCGCAGTCTCCACAGCAGCCGGAGGTTCGCGTACTGCTCGTTCCACTGGTCGCGGGTTTGCAGCAGCATCTCGCTGTGCTTGGAGGCAAGCACGCATCTCCTGCTGTGCCCTTCGAAATTGTGCAGCCTCGTCGTCTTCCTCGACAGCAAGAAAGTCGTCCCATGGCTGATCGGTTCCCCCCATAGGCACTGTTCTCGCCGGGGTACCCCGAACAGCTGCCTGCTCCATAAGGGCATGGGCCTCGTCCTGCGCCTCTGTAGCAGCCTTGATGTCCGCGATGATTCGTTGTACATCTCGGTTGTACTTGGCATGCTCGCGGTTGTAGGCCGCCTTCAAGGCTGCCCGGTAAGCAACCCATTTTTCCTCTCTGGTAACTTGCTCTTTCTGCAAGTTCGCCAAACGCTGTTCGGCTTTGCGGGCCACATTTACCGCATGCTGTACCAAAGTCGATCGCTTCATTCCAGCTGTATCTGCGCCGAACCTCGTCTCGGAGATCACCTCGATCGAGCCTCTGCTCTCTTGTTTCCAATCCATGTCGTAGGCAGGGAACCGGGGCGCATCCTTGCGCGTATCGCGAGTATCCCTCGTCTTCCAAGCCCCCTGCCAAATAGCATACGATGGCGAGTCCCAACCACCTTGCTGCTGCCAAGAACCTCGGCCTCTTCCCTGTTTTCCCATGTCTCTCAGGGTTCTGGCAAAGGCTGGGCAAGTCGCGTGGTGCACTAGTAGCACCCGCCGTTGCTGGGAAGAAAGTGGCAGCCCGACGCGAAATCGAAGGCGTGCCTTTGATCGTTGCCGCCTCACGCGGCGATGCCAAGAAGGCGAATGGCTCGCAGGAGGTATTCTACCTAGAAATCGCACTCTTTGAGTGCTGGGGCGCGTCAGCTATCCGGCTGCTAGTGCCGGTCTTCTGGGCCCTCAGGATAGTATTGGTAATTACTTAGACTAGGCTCCTACAGCAGCTATACATGGCCTATGAGGGCCTGCGACTGTTGAGGCGCTCTAGGGGTTGCAGTTCATGGGCGACAGGAAGTGATAGACTTAGAGGCCTGGATTTAATACTAGCAGAACTCCAAAACCTACGCTGATCATTAGGGCCCCCATCTCAAGCTTGTACTAAAGCCCCATAGAAACTGCAAAAAGAGCCCTAGAGCAATCCCAAGAAACCCTACCCGAAACTCCTGAACCCACCATGCCCATTCCGATCCTCAGCTTACCCCAGCTCTCAGCTCGAGATCAAGATCCCAAAAATCTCCAAGTCTGTGCCCAAGGCCTCTGCATAATTAGAAAGATTCGTTTATTGGGTTTAGGGCCTTAAGGCTTTCAATACGTGGTGTAGGATCCTAGAACTTATAAGGTTTGTGCATAGCAGCCTTAAAGATATTTCAAAAGTTTTTGTAACTAGAATCGGGAGCTCCAGGAAAAGTATGACTACCCATAGGCCCTAATTAAGTAGGTCGTTTTTGGGATTACCTTATAGGATTCTAAATATAAACCATAAGAGGAACTACTTAGGGGCCTATGGGTAAGCCGAATCGGAGCAATTCCAGTTAAGTCGAGCGGCGAAAGCGCGTCACCTTGGTCGTGGCACTTTCTCAGTTTCGATTTGGTCGGAAATCTCGGGCTCCGAGACCCAAAACCCTAAACGCCAAACTCTAAACCCAAAATCCACCCAGGTGGACCCAGGCGGAATTAGGGCTTGAGTGTGCGGGGTTTGGAGATTACATGCTTGTCGAGTTTAGGTAGACATGAGGGTTCTCAACCCAAATATATACAAGCCCTAGGAGGTTTATAGGGACCTAAGACACAGAATTCCGTTTTAGAAACCCCCAAACCCTAAAAACCTAAACCCTAGACCCTAAATTACTAAAACCCTAAACCCTAAAACCCTAAACCCCTAACCCACTAACCCTAAAACCCTAAAACCCTAAAAACCCTACCCCCGAAGGCGCTCCCAGGGAGAGCCGTACTCGGGTGGAACCGACAGCCAAATCAGAGAAAACCGCCGGTTCAGGGCTTTAGGGCTTTAGGGGTTTCAAAGGCTTTAGGGTTTAGGATTTAGGGTTTCCAAGGCTTTAAAGTTTAGGGCTTTAGGGGTTTCAAAGGCTTTAGGGTTTAGGATTTAGGGTTTCAAAGGCTTTAAAGTTTAGGGCTTTAGGGGTTTCAAAGGCTTTAAGGTTTAGGATTTAGGGTTTGGGGCTTTAGGGTTTAGGGGTTTGGGTTTAGGGTTTAGGGGTTTGGGTTTAGGGTTTACATAGGGGTTTAGGGGTTTAGGGGTTAGGGGTTTAGGGCCCTAGAAGGGCTGTGGGGTTGTCGGGGTTTGAGGGATTTAGGGTTTAGGGTTTAGGATTTAGGGATTTAGGGTTTAGGGCCTTATAATAATAAGCTAGGGTTTAGGGCTTTAGGGCTTTTCGGCTTTAGAACGAAAACCCTGCGCTGACATGACCCGAAGAAGTCTCAATACCCCAACCTCCGAGGAAGCATGGCTTGGATCATGTTAGAGTTGAGGCTCGACAGGCGCTTAGGGTGTAGGGTTTAGGGTTTAGGGTTAGGGAAAGGGCTGTCACCTAGAAAACCCTCGTAAAGAACGAGGTTTCGGGCTTCGGGGTGTGTTTTTGTGTGATGTTTTCAGGAAGCAGAGGGCTTCGCTCTCTTGGGACTAAGGGCCAGGATTTCGAGACGGAGGGTTTCAAGTGAAAAAAGTTGGGGTTAAGGCCGCGGCCGTGTCATTGAAATTCAGAGTGTCAATGCGGAGAACGCTTCGTGTCCTGCGCGGTGAGAGTCGCAGGTCAGCACGTGGTTGCTTGTAGAAATCGATTATGCCAGCCTAGACATACACTACAGCTGTAGCTGGGGAAGCAAAAACAGCGTCCTGCATCTCATTAAATCGTGCCAACCCGTTTCTAGGCCCACTCTGACGCCACTTCTTTATTTCTATAGAGATGACAACACAAGTCTACCAACCTTCCCCGAACTACCCTGAATCATGCCCCCTGAAACCTCCACTCTCTGGCTTTCAGATGGAGGTGGAGCTAGGTTTAGGGTTTAGGGTTTAGGGGAGTAAGAGAACCTCGGACGCTGCTTGGGTTGTGGGGTTTGAGGCTTATGCGGTAGCAGGACG